AACAAACCCAGGGCCAGGTAGTAGGGTGAACGTTGCATGACCAGAGAAACAGAACAGGCCACAGCTTCCTCACCTTGCCAATTCCTCAGCTGATCCTGTTTCCTCAGACTGGAAGCTTCTGAGTCCTCATCTAAATGGATCTCAGCTGAACTGCTGCTAGAAGCCTAAAAGCTTAACCAGGCTATAGTTCCTCGTCCTCACGCCTTAAATACCTTTCTGCCTCCTGCCATTACTTCCTGGGATTAAAGGAAGTGAGTCACCATGCTTGGCTGTTTCCAGTGTGGCCTTGAACTCACGGAGATCCAGGTGGATCTCTGCCTCTGGAATGCTAGGATTAAAGGCGTGTGCTACCACTGTCTAACCTCTATGTTTAATATTGTGGCTGTTCTGTTCTCTGACCCCAGATAAGTTTATTAGAGTGCACAGTATTTCAGGGAACACAATACCACCACACTCTCACAAGGTCCTATGGCTGTGACTTCCCCAGAATGACCGACTAACCTCCAACTGTGAGCCAAATAAACCCTTTCTCCACCAAGTTGCTTTTGTCAAGAGTATTTTATCATACCAACGGGAAAAAATATCTTTACATAAGCCAGGCAGTGGTGGTGCACGCCTTTAATCCCAGCACTCAGGAGACAGTCTCTTCCAGGACAGCCAGAACTACACAGAGAAACCCTGTCTCCAAAAACATCTTTACACTAATCATAAAATTATTTGGGCATGGTGGTGCATAACTTTAATCCTACCACTAAAGAGGCATAGGCAGGTATATCTCTATAAGTTCAAGATCCAGTCTAAACACCAAGTTCTAAGATAATGAGATCCTGTCTCAAAAAATAATAAAATTTCAACTTTTTCTTGTACTCAAAATGACATATCCACTATACTCTTCTTGTTAACTTTTTCAATTTATTTTGGTATTGGGGATAAAGCCTTGCACATGTTAAACTCAGACCATCACTTGAATTAACCCCTGGATAGCTCATCTCAATTGCCAACTGGGAGATAGGCCTCTGAGCATGTCTGTGAGTAATATTACCTTAACTAAGTTAATGAGGTTGGAAAACCTGCCCACAGAGGGTGGCACCATTCCCTCCATAGGCATTCTGGACTACATAAAAAGAGGAAACCTGGCTGAGTCCAACATTCATCACTCTTTGCTTCTTGACTGGATGCAAAGTGGTTTAGTAACCACTTTCAAGGTCCTACTTCCTTGACTTCCCCACCATAATGACAATGAGCTAAAAGAACCCAGATATGCTAGAAAAGAATAAATACCCCTCCTTTTGACACTTTTTCTAGTTTGACTTTGAGCAAATAATTCTGTTAAGATTTGTTTTTTCTTCTAAAAAGGAGGCAATCCTATCTCATGGGATTGCCATAATCTAAGTTTCTCAAAAATTTTATTTGTAGCCAGGCAGTAGTGGTGCACACCTTTAATCTCAGCACTTGGGAGGCAGAGGCAGGTGGATCTCTGTGAGTTTGAGGCCAGCCTGGTCTACAGAGTGAGTTCCAGGACAGCCAGAGCTGTTACACAGAGAAACTCTGTCTGGGGGATGGATGGATGGATGGATGGATGGATGGATAGTATAATTTGTCTTATAGATAGATGGATGGATGGATGGATGGATGGATGGATGGATAGATAGATAGACAGATAGGTAAGTAGGTAGGTAGGTAGAAGATACATAGTATAATTTGTCTTTTTATAAACATGTACCTAAAGACCTTACCAACAATAGTCTCCTATAAGAGCTACACTGCTATTTTTTCCAAGCTCTGGCAACAGGGAGACTTACTTCCTTACAGATTGTTGATTTATTGCTAGAGTCTACTAACCAACAGATCACTTAAGACATTTTTAAAGGTCCTAGCCTAGACATACACTTCAGTGGCAGAACAATTTCTTAGCATGCACAAAGCCCTAAATTCTAACCCCCCCCCAACAAAAGGAAAGCAAAACAAACACACACACAATCTAAATAGCCATCACTAAAAAGAATACAAGCATACAGTGAAATGTTATGCAGCTATGAAGAAATGGGTAGATTTCTAAGTAAATGTGGAACAAAATACAAGCTAAACAATTAAGATTCAAAAACTGCAAGTACATTAGGCTTTGTGTACAGACTCACACCTAAGTGTATAAAGGCGCCAGAATGCACTAAAGGAAGGGCAACAGAAAGGATAATAAAGATACACAATGGTTTTGATGGCTTTTGAATCGATGCAAAATAAACTAGAAAAAAATGGCTGTCTTCTGGAAAGAGGGATCAAAGAACTTAGAGAGGGAAACTATTTATCTCTCTTGTACTCTATCTTATTTAAGTTTTTAGGGTCAGGGCTGTAGATCTTTTATTAAAGGGCTTGCCTAGAATGCAGGAAGTCCTGGGTTCAATTCCTGACACCACATAAACCAGGTATAGTGGCACACACCTATAATCTCAGCACTTAGAAAGTGGAGGAAGTGGATCACAAGTTCAAGGTTATCCTCTGCTACATAAATTCTAGACCAGCCTGGGCTACAAGAGACCCTTCTCTTCAAAATAAAGGAAAAAAATTTAACTTGTACTTTTTTTTTTTTTTTTGGTTTTTCAAGACAGGGTTTCTTTGTGTAGCTTTGCGCCTTTCCTGGAACTCACTCTGTAACTCAGGCTGGCCTCGAACTCACAGAATGCCTGCCTCTGCCTTCCGAGTGAGCCACCACCACCCGGCAACTTGTGCATGTTTTACACTTTTAATTTATAAGCTATTATTCTGATATTTAAATGCTACACATCTTTCATTCTGAAGATACAGTAAAACTACCTTACAACAGTAAGAGCAATACTTATTTTTTTAAAGAAAAAGCGAGAAAAATATACAAAGAGACCTCAAAAAAGGAGAGGGCCTAGGAAATGCAGCTCAGCTAGTACAATACACTCCTAACATGCAGGGAATCCTGCCTTTATTGCCAGTAATGCATAATGCAGGTGGTACATACCTGTCACCCCAGCACTAGGGAGGTGAAAGCAAGAGGACCCCAGAAGCTCAAAGTCAGCTTTGGCAACCTAACAGTTTGAGGTCAGCTGATAACCTGTCTCCAACGGGGGTGGGGGGAGGTCCTTCTTTTAAAAGACTACCTATTATCTGCATACCAATCAACTCAGAATCAATAAGATCAGTACCCTTATCCACACACTGTCACTCAGGTGCTGACCAATACTTTCTAAAGTTGAGAAGGAGAAATTCTAAGAAGAAACAGGAAAAAGACTTTGTCTTCTTAAACACATGCATATTTAAAGCCCCGTAGTTCTGAAGGTTTTTAGAGATCATGTGCTGCATACTCCACTCTATTTTACATAAAAATTGTATTTTCATACAGACCAAATGTACAGCTCAAGGCCACAATTGTTCTGAATGACACAGCATTAAAAACTATAATCTCAGGATTCTCAACCCAATACTAATTCCTAATACCAAAAGGAAACCCAACACTAGATGTGTATTCAACTGTTAAGATGGCAGCTCCTGTCGTAAACGAGCATTTTATCATCTTGCACTTTGGCTCACTGAACTACTTTATAAGACAGACTGAGGGGTTGAGGAATCGGCTTAGCCAGTAAAGCACTTGCCTCACAAGCATGAAAACCTGAGTTCAGGTCCCCAGCACCCACATAAAGAACTAACTGAGGCTACTTACACCTGTAATCCCAGCATCAAGGAGAAGGGTCCAGGTCCAGGTAAAAGACCCTACCTCAAAAATAAAGTGGCCAGGTGGTGGGGGCGCATGCCTTCAATCACAGAACTCAGAAAGCAGAGGCAGACCTGATCTAGAGAGACTATGAAGTGAAACCCTGTCTGTCTCGAAAATCCAAAAATATAAAATAAAGAACAACGAGGAAGGTACACACACACACACACACACACACACACACACACACACACACACACACACGTGCCTGTGCAGAGAAGTCTCTGGACCGATGGGGGGTGGTAAGCACAAACACAATAAATCACTGTACAAAGAAAGGAAATACAGATGTAAGATGAAGGTTAACACTAGTCAAGCCTGGCGGCACACTGCAATGATCCCAGCCCTAAGGAGGCTGAGACAAGATGAACAGCCTCAGCTCCAGTAAAGAGTCTATGTATCAAAAAACACAAATTAATAAAAATAATCTAAATAACAACACTCAGTAACTGTGGCGACTTAAGACTGAACTTGATCGCATGCCAGGCCAGGCCTACTAGCTCCCAAACAAGTCTCCTGACTACTCCAAAGAGATGCTACTGCTGCCTGGCCTGTCCTTACTCCTCAGCTCCACCTGCAGCACTAAGCCCTGCTTCCAAGATGAGAAACTCAGACACTCCCAGCCAAACTTACAAAGCTAGGAAGGGAGACCTTTGCCTTCACTGTTAACTAAATTGGTGAGCTGAAAAAGAATTATGTTTTGATAAAACAATCAGATCTTCTGGATTTCAAATAAAATCAAGCATATAAAACAACAACTGACATATTTTGGCTACTGAAGCTTGAGTACCCTCTAGAGTAAAGCCATCATGAAAATCTAGCTACTTGAAAATGGAATCTCATCAACAATCAATTCATAGCCTTTAATTCCAGCACTTGGGAGGCAAAGGCAGGCAGATCTCTGTGAATTCAAGGCCAGCTTGGTCTACAAAGCGAGTTCCAGGACAGCCAGGGTTGTTACACAGAGAAACTCTGTCTCCAAAAACAAAACAAAACAAAAAATAATCAATTCATTTGAACACAAACCACATTTAAGCCTTAAAAAAAATCATATAAGAAATATGATTATGAAAAATCAAGTGCCTTTATATTACCTCATAATACAACCTTAACTGTCAAAACATACTTATTATCCCACTGCCAGGTCAGCAGAACTGGAGTGGAGAGCTTTCCTATACTACAGAAAACAACAACAAACAAAAGCTACTTCCCCGACAAGGGTGAAACATCATGGCAACTTATTATACTAATAAGCCTTCCTGGCTCGCCCTTGCAATGCCGGCAAAGTAATGACAGAATTTCCCCCCACACTAACTTCCAAGGTTATTAAAGTCCTATCTGGAACATTAATGAAATGTTCTGTTAATGTGAACAGTAAAGCAAGAGTCAAAACCTCAAACGCCCACACAGAAGTCACTGGTTAGGTGTAGGGAGTCGGGCAAAATGGAGTCTGCCCATCAAGAAGCCTAAATCCTACATCATTTGTCACTGCATTTAAAAAAAAAAAAAAATGTTGGGCTGGAGAGATGGCTCAGTGGTTAAGAGCACGGACTGCTCTTCCAGAGGACCCAGGTTCAATTCCCAGCATCCACATGGCAGCTCACAACTGTCTGTAACTCCAAGAGCTGACACCCTCACACAGACATCCATGGCAAAACATCAATGCACTATAGATAAATTTAAAAAAGAGTAAGCTATATTCTTTTAAAAAAAAATGTAGTTCTCTCTTAGAGCTTCTGGTGTTGTCACTGTTGACAATTCAGTTAAAATCAACACACACAGGGGCTGGAGAGATGGCTCAGAGGTTAAGAGCACCATTTGCTCTTCCAAAGGTCCTGAGTTCAATTCCCAGCACCCACATGGTGGCTCACAACCATCTGTAATGAGATCTGGCACCCTCTTCTGTGTACATAATTAATAAATAAATAAATAAATAAATCTTTAAAAAAAAGTTCCAATACCCTTAAAAAAAAAAATCAACATACACAGATACAAAAAGGCATTATACCATACATTCTAGCCACCAGAATAGCTGCAATAAGGACAGATAATGCCAAACTGCAAATATAAAATGACCAAAATTCATAAACTTCTAAAGGGAGAAAGCTGACATGGGTTACTGAAGCTGAATATATGCACACCCTATTGTACCTACCAATTCCCTAGTGAATTGAGCAAGAAACTCTCCAAACACACCTAGAAATGGTTCTAAAATTTGATTTTCCATTTGATGTATGTATCTATGTGTGTACATGTGTGTACCAGGTGCCAGCACCAGATCCCCTGGAGATGGAAGTTCCAGGTGGGTGGAAGCTGCAGGACATGGGTGCTGGGAACCCAACCAGTCTTCAGAAGATCAAGTGGCCTTCACACTGCACATTTCTCCAGTCCACATACATAACTTTTTCTTCACAGACAAAAATTAAACAGTCTAAGTAGCCACTAACAGTAAAATTAGAAAGCAAATGATACATTCATATAATGTAACATTGTTCAGAAAGGAGCTGAAGAGGCTCTTCCTCCACAAAAGCAAACAGCAACTCTGGTTACTGTGTCAAAAACTGGCCGACTTCTGTCCCTGCCAGAGGAAAGCTGAAACAGAACAGTAAACTAGGCTATTTGGCAGAAGTTCCTACAGGAAATACAAAGGAACTGTATGACTACCTTTAACTGCATCCAAGATCAGAGAAGCAGAAAACACAGACAGAATTTGCAATTAAAAGAGAAGCTAAACAAATATTTAGGACATGTACAGCCTCACCTTACAAAAGAATGAAGAGGAACATTTAGAAGCGCAATCCAAGAACGTGGCCAAACAGTAGGCAGTCGGCTAGAGCCAGAGGACTCTGAGAACTCCACCTTTCAACTCTGTGCAGTTGCACCAGGTAACTGACTCTAAGCAACACTGGTCAGAGAAGCTTCCTCTTGCAGTTAATACTGAGACACCTAACTGGTTTAAGTGCTCTAAACAGGATATTACCTGTAACACACACAGGCACACTCACACCGCCCAAGGCTCTTGGAACATCAGGAAAGAGGCAGAAAGAATGTGATGTGAGAGCTGGAGGATGGGGCCATTGCTGTTGAAGCTGCCTTCTACACATGACACACCCACAGAACTCATGAACTCCTTACCTGCCTGCACGAGATGGAACCTGTCGACATCCCAGCATGGGTGGGGGAGGAGCTCAAGAAGCCCCACCCCAGCCAAGAAGCTATTGGTCGTTAATGGCGACTGGGGGAACAGAGATCATTTTTCTTCAGGGACACAGCCCCTGGTAAATTGCCCATGCCCCAGTAATAATCCCACAGCCATGCTTACGCAGGCAACCCTGTTTTAACTCAGCGGTTAACTTTTTTTTTAATTTAAAAAGACCACAGGGTGGTGGTGGTGCAAACTCTGAGGCCCAGCACTCGGGAGGCAGAGGCAGGTTGATCTCCAAGTTCTAGGACAGCCTGGTCTATGGTGTGAGTTCCAGGACAGCCAGAGCTTCATTTAAAAAAAAAAAAAGTTTATAACAGAAAAACCTGGGGCTGGAGGGATGGCTCAGCGGTTAAGAGCACTGTCTGCTCTTCCAGAGATCCTGAGATCAATTCCCAGCAACCACATGGTGGCTCACAACCATCCATAATTCGATCTGGTGCCCTCTTCTGGCCTGTAAGCATACATGCAGACAGAATACTGTACACACAATAAATAAATAAATATTTAAAAAAAATAAATTTAAAAAACCTGAAAGTAGGAGGGGGACACGTTGGGAAAAAAGAATCCCAGAGGTAATGGGAAAGAAGGAATGAGAGAGGGTCTGGGGAGCACATTATAAACATGTATGAAACTGTCAAAATATAAAGAATAGGAAGGGGGGGATCATGAAGACACTGAAAATGCCAGTTAGGACATTGAAGAAACCTCTGAGATCGCCTCTCCCTGGACTGACCAAGAGCTCTGAGAAAGCAAAATCATCTAGGTGGCAAGGGCCAGATTGCCCTTCCAGGCTGGCTGCCAAATCACCTCAGGTTCTCTGCTCCCAGTAGCTACCGCTCCACAAGTCCAGGAAGCATAAGCCCAGCCAAGGAAACAGATACAGGACGTATACCACTGACTGTCACACGGTGTAAGATCTAAGGGGCTGTGACAAACTCCCACAACTACATTTCAAAGGGTGTCCTGGAGAGCCTGGGGAGCTGACAGGAGAGTAGAGCCACACACTCACAGTCCCTACTCAGACAATTCCCAGGTAGTACTAGTCCCTGTCACCACAGAACGGTAAGGTCACCCAGTGTCCAAGTCAAAATGGAAAAATCCAAGGTAAGAGATTTTAAAAATGGGGGGGGGGGGGGATTGTCACAGGGATAAGGCCACCTGAGGCCCTGGGGTCCAACTCCCAGCCCAGGTTGAGATGAATATGCTTAAATTTTCCACTAGATTGTGGGTGTGCTTGGGACACACCACAACCCCTTTCCTGCCTATTCCTTTCTGGAATGAGAACATTTACTCTATACCTACCTGTTTCATCACTAAATTCTAGAAACATGTAACTTAATTTCAGACTCGGGGATGGAGAGGAAGGTGCCCATCTCCCCCATATCTGGTTTAGATGTGGTATGGACTTTGCACTTTTAAATTGATAGTGGAAGGAGTGAACAGTCTTGTGACTACTGAGATGAAGGAATGAATTGGGCATTGTGAGGACAGTATGTTTGAGAGTTCAGGGCCAAATGCTTCCATTTGAATGACCCCTGAAGTCCATGTATTAGACATTAAATCCCAAATGCAACAGAGATGGAGTGGAACACCTAATAAGAGGTGATTCTGCCCAGCAGTGGTGGTGCACACCTTTGATCCCAGCACTTGGAGGCAGAGGCAGGTGCATCTCTGAGTTTGATGCCAGCCTGATCTACAGAGCAAGTTCCAGGACAGCCAGGAATACACAGAAAACCCTGTCTTGGAAAACCAAAACGAAACAAAGCAGAGGTGATTCTATCACAGGGAGTTCTCTCTCCTGGACAGACTGATGTTGAGGGGACTGGACTAGTTAGCTTAAGATCAGACCTATAATGAAAGCAGCCTGGGCACTCTCTGGCTCTCTTACAATGACTGCATTCTTGTTCTTTCTGCTGAGCACAACATGAAGAAGGCGTTCTCCATACAGCCAGTACCTTGATGTTGGACTTCTCAACCTCCAAAACAAATACATTTCCTTTCCTTTTGGCTTCCTGTAGTCCAAACAGCCTATAATGCCTATGTGACAAAGGATGATGACCTTTAACTTCTGATCCTCCTGCCTCCACCTACCAAGTGCTGGGATTACAGGGTTGCAGTTCTTCTTTCTTTCTTACTATGTATTTATTTATTGAGGTTTAGTGGGAATGCAGTAATGTAGAGATCAGAGGACTTGCAGGAGTTGGTTCTTTCTCTTCCAGCCATCTTGCCAGACTCTGAAATCCCTTTGTAAATTGTTCAATCTATGTTTTTATTATAGCAACACGCAACAATTCAATTTAAACAAGTACTTCAATTGAAAGCCTAAAATCATATGCACACGAGCATACCATTCCATGGAGGCCAGACAAAACAGTGATGGAAGAGCATGGGGGTCTAACAGGTGACAGTCCTGCTATGACCTCTTGCTGACAAGACACTGACATTAAAAGATTCACTTGAAGAATGTCCTAATACCAGTCAGCAACTAACAGAATTCGGATGTTTTGTAATGGCAATATTTGGAATTTGTTGTCTATTTTAATTTCCTTGAACCCGTAATTAGTGGCTGAAGGCTATCTTAAGAGTTTGAGAAACAGACTGAACAACTAATTAAGTGTACAAATTCAGAAAAGCCATTAGGTTCAAGCCTACCAAGGAAGAGGGCAGTGGCCAATCATGTTAAAGAAATGTCACAGGGCCAGACATAGTAACAACTGATGGGGGAGGGCCCAGTCTATGAAGGGAGGTGCCACCTAGGCAAAGAGCCACTAAGTAGCCTTCCTCCGGGGGCTGTTCCAGTCCCGCCCCCAGGCTCATCCTGGTGCCTGGCTTCCCTCAGCAATGGACTCTAACAGGAATAAACCCTCCCTCCTCCCCAAGTTGCTTTTGCTTATGGTGTTTTAACACAGCAACAGAAAGCAAACCAGGACAGATACTATTCTTTTTCATTTCCTTACCAATCAAACATTATCCTTAAATTAACTGGAGCCACAACTTCATTTCCTAAAATTTACCTTGAAGAAAACTTTCACTGGGCATGATGGCACACCTGTAATTCCAGCTCACAAGGCTGAGGCAGGAGGCTCTCCAGTTCAGACCAGCCTGGGCTACGAGGGAAGCCCTATCTGAAAACCACCAACAGGGAAGAGGAGGAAGAGACACACACAACTCGAGCTTGTTGAGTCACAGCAATTAAGATGCCTGCTGCCAAGCCTGACCACCTGCGTTCCAGCTCCAGGACCCACGCAGAAGGAGAAAAAAGACTCTCAAACTTTCCTCTGAACTCTTATGCTACCTATGGTGGGCACACACTCACACACATACAGAGAAACAGATAAATGTAATTTTTAAAAAGTTAACAGCTACATCCCAGCAATAAAGTAGCTATTCTTTACAAAACATCTAAATTTATAAGCACTTAAGCTTCGGTAAACAGAGACAAGCCCATCATTCAAAAAGAAACAAGCTCTTAAAAATAAATCATCCCAGTTAAGTGCTAAGCCATTGTATCAGGTTGGTCAGTGTTAAAGACAGATTGTTCCGAAGTCCAAGTTAACCTTTTATCTCGTTATTGCAAGATCTAAAACGAGGGGAAATCGGGTACCTGCTTTAATGCTCAAGGGCAACATTCTACAAATCATTTACCGTTATAGCGAACTCCACTCAACTAAAAAGCTATACATCCACAGCCCTAAATCATTCTCACGAAATCTTACGTAGTGCGAGACGCTCTTGAGGCTCAATGCTGAGAGTTCACTCAATATAATGTTATGGGAAATACAAGCTCCCGGCAGACACCCAGTCTGGCTTTCCAGAAAACTACCCGAGTGCAAGTCCTCGGGAATTCCTAAGCCAAGCTCTCTATGAAACTTGGGCACACTGAAAAAAAAAAAAAAAAAAGGAAGGAAGGAAAAAGGGAAGGAAGGAAGGAGGCTCTGTACACCACTCCGCCCCTTCGACATCCTTAGAAAGCATTTCCAGCCCGGGAAACCTTGCTCCAAAAGCTTTCAACAAAACTTTCCAGCAAAGCCAATGTGCCTTCAGCCCGCCCCTCCCCTCCCCTCCCCTCCCGTCTCCTACCCACATACACACCCACCGGTGAACCTCAACTTTGGGCAGACGGCACTCCACACCGGCGCGCACCAACACGAGTGCTCGCAAACCCGGCCCCTTTGCACACAGACGCACCCGGAAACGGACACCCCTTGCCTCACACTCCCAGCCCATCCCCCCCTCCTCCCCCTCCTCTACCCCGCACCCACTCCCAGAGCCGGCCCCCCATCTCCACCCCTCCCCCGGACACCGCTTCCATCCACCCACGCTCCCGGGGAACCCGCCTCCCCTAGCTCCCGGGCTCGCCTAGGGCGGCGGAGAGAGGAAGCAGGAAGAAGGAAGCAGGGCTGCGCAGGGCCTAGGCCTCTCGGGCCGCCCGGAGGTGAGGGGCAGCGGGCGGCCTCAGGCCTCCTCGGCCTCGGCCTCCTCCGCCTCCGCCTCCCCGCGCCCGTCCCGCACCGCACCGTCC